CACACACACACACACACACACTCACACGCCAGCGAGCCGCTGGCCGCTCAATGGACCGATTTCCCCGGGTTCCCTGATCCCAGTCCACCCGGGATGAGAAATTGCAAAATGGCCCGGGTCGCCAGTGTGTTGGGGCTGGTCATGCTCAGCGTCGCCCTCCTGATTTTATCGCTCATCAGCTACGTGTCCCTGAAAAAGGAGAACATCTTCACCACTCCCAAGTACGCCAACCCGGGGGCGCCCCGAATGTACATGTTCCACGCGGGATTCCGGTGAGTGCGGGCCTCGGTGGAGCGCCCTCAGTATCTGTCTGCTGTGTGTCGTGTCAGGGAATGAAGGAGGGGTGTTGGGCTTCTCCGAGACACTTTGGCCCGGATAACTACGTGATTCTTCCACTCGGTGTCTAGAGTCCCCCTTCCTCCTCCCCTTTATTTTTTAACCCAGAGCCCCTAAAAGCCGCGGTCCGGATCGATGCGATTGCATTTCTCGTATTCTTCCTCAGCGTCCCTTCCCCCATTTCAAAAATGGGGGAGGGCTTTAGGAGAATAATGGTGAAGGGAGAGACAGTGGAAGGGGGAAGTGAGCTGAGAGATGGACAGGCGAGAGTTGAGCGCCCTCCCCGCCGGCGGTCCGCAGGCTCGGAGGCCGGGCTCCGGGCGGTGCGAGGCGATTTAATGGCGCAGGCGCCGACTCCCCTCGCTCCCTCCCCCTCTCCTCCCTCCTCCGGGTCAAAGGCGGCGGGGGCCGGTTCTCTGGCAGCCCCTGGGGCGTTCTCCTTCCCCTACCCCTCTCCGGCTCCAGCCCCCATTCCGGGATTTCTGCAGTTGCCCTCCCCAGCGGGAAGCAAGGCCCGGAAGACTGCAAACCCTCGCCCAGTTCGAAGTCACCGCTCGGCGCGGGCTGCACGCCGGAGGCGCCAGGCGCAGCTTGGCACAGATCAGCCAGAGCCCCCGCCCAACCTGTGAGCTCCCCACGGAGCTCTCCCAGCAGGGCCCCCGACCGGTGGGTGGCAAACACCGAGTGCAGCCTGGGGTCGCAGGCAGGCCAGAGGTGCGCAACCTGAAGAAGCCCTGCCTGGGTAGCCGAGCGGAGCTGGGGCGGCCACCGGGGGTCCCCAGGAGACGCTTGGGGAGTGAAAGCAGACACGGGGTCGGTCAGGAAGAGGATAAGGCCGGAGCCACCCCCAGCCTTCCCCCTGAGGCTACGGTGTCCTCAGCCCTTTTTCCAAAAATCAATTCCTCGGGTTGACTGGGGCGGGGCGGGTGGCGCGGGCCGCTGTCCTCGACCGCCCTGCCCGCTGCGCGACGGCCATTTTATGGTTTCTCCCGCACTGCGAGGGTGGACAATAAAGATGAGGTTCACTAGTTTTCTCTCTTTCTCCCGAGTGTATGCAAGAGCAGAGGGTGGATGAAATGTGAAGGGCTCTGGGGCGGGATGGTACCGTGAGTGTCCCTGCTACCCCCTCACCCCGCGCCTCCAGCGGGGTGGACTTTAATGGCTACCTCGGCTTCCCCGAGCTGAGGCCGGCACATTTGTCTGTACTCGTGCTCCTCTCCAGGTCACAGTTTGCGCTGAAGTTTCTAGACCCGTCGTTTGTGCCCATTACGAATTCTCTCACCCAGGAACTCCACGAGAAACCCTCTAAGTGGACATTTAATCGGACAGCGTTTTTACATCAAAGGTAGGACAGAAGGAAAACATCCGAAAGGTCTTTTTGGAATTTGGGGGCTCAAAAATCAAATCAAACATATCCAAAAACAACAAAAATGTACTGCCCCCATGTATTTGCATTGTCTTCCTGGCCTAACTGCGCAATGATTGGTGTTAACACTCCCAAATATGTGTAATGCTCTCTCAAAAGGCAAGTGTTAGGATGACGAATTTGAATGGCAAAAAAGGCACATCTCCAGTTATGTTCCCTAACTTGGGCTTAATTCAGCACTATCTGTATAGTTGATAAGTTTGGCTAAGACTACCAAAGCTGCCTTTTTAAATGCTATTTGCAAAAAGACTACCCAATACATTTTCATGTTTCTCTCACACACACACAAAAATTGTATTATCCTATTGAAACACACAGAAAACATCATACTCTATCTCCATCAAATTACTAGTAAAGATATGGACCTAAGCATAAGCAGGTATTTATGATTTTGTTTTGGTTTTAGCTGTTTTCATTAAGCCTTTACATCTTACAGCATATTATAAAGCTATCTAACAGCGTACATCAGTCTTATAAGTTGTAACAACCTTGTTTTATACATGAAGTTGTTTTTTTTAATATTTTGTTTTTATGTGGGGAAAGAAAGATGAAATTTATTCAAATTTAATTACTCTTGTAGGTGATTCTGATCTACTTTTAGAACCACAGATAAATTCTTATTCCTTCCTTCTTGGTGGGATTATTGCGCTGCAAAATGCAACGTGAGCCATCTAGTGTATTCATTAGGGGTGTGAATACTTATTTTACAAACCACTCTACTTAAGGAGTTATGTTCGGGGCATTTCTAGTTTTTGCTCTTTTTTAAAAAAATTGTACTGACAGAATTAACACAAATCCAGTGGATATCCATAGTATCAGGGAAATATTATTTATTTGAAAATTTGACATGCAGTCATGATTATCATTATAGTTTTTAAAATATTTGTTTACATACATGAAAATTGATTAATTCTAAACTCAAGAACTGCTTTTTCAAACTTTTGAATTTTTAATCCAATATTAATTTTATAGATGACTCAGAAAATTTTGAAGAGTAGCACACCTTATACTTTCCCCAAACACATTGCTACCTCAATAAACGTATTCTTCACATTTTGTGACCCTAATGACCAATCCAATCAGAAGAATATTTCCTTATCAAAAGTTCCCTTTTACGTATTTATTAGGTAATCTTTAATTAATTTTTACCAGTATCACTTTAAACTTGTCTTTCATTTGCAATTGCTAGTAAAAATGATACTGATAACTTTGGATTGAAAATGTCAGTTTATAGCTGGGGATTTAGCTCAGTGGTTCGGTGGCCTGCCTTGCAAGTGCAAGGACCCGAGTTCAATCCCTGGTACCCCCCAAAAAGAAAAGAAAATGTCAGTTTATATTGCCCTGCACACTGTGTTGAATAATAAAGTCATTTTGGAGGGGGCAATAAAGTCCAAACAAAGTTTTGATATGCCACACATTTTATTTTATTCATGCTGTTTTTAGGCAAAAAGCACAGGAGTTTCAGTATCATTTCTTAGATTCTGGAGAATCTAACAGCAAAGTAACATGTTATTGGCCTCCTAAATATTTTAAAGAGCTGAGACTATAACAGGAAATGCTTAATTTTACTTAAAGCTCAGTATGATGCCAAACTGAAGTTAGTTCTCAGTCTCACTCTTGCCTTTATTATTCAGTGTTGTTAGAACCTAACATATGTTCAGGTTTACAGTAGCCTGTCTTTCTAAGGATTAGATATATCCCACTAAATTATGTTTCTGTATAATCAAACAGAAAAAAAAAATCCTAGTTTCATTATTCAAAGGGCCTTAAAAAGATTAACCTCTCATTTCTATTAAATATTCAGCTATACTCACTAGTATTCCCATTTTCATATTTTAATAATAGTGCTGTACTGACTCATATAGGCGGCTCTTATTTGGACACTAGTGATATTTGATATTCTTGAACACTGCAACCCAGTAACAAACAAGTAGTCCCTAGTTACAAACTCCAAGTCACCAATGTTTGTGCTTTAATATAAGCTCTTTGGGGCCTTTGTGAATTGTCTGCCTATATTCTCTGTCACAGTTTGGCCTATGCCTCATCTTGGATCAAATATACTCCTCAAATAGAGTAGAAAACCAAGAATTGGTAGCTAAAACTATAAGTTGCACTTGCAAACCTCAAAGGATTACATTCAGAACTGAAAAATTAGAACTTGTCATACATTCTGAAACAATCTTCCCTCCAAAGACCACAATTATGAATATATAATCTTTCTTGGATTTAATGTGCTTAAGATTCCTGTCTTAATGAAATGGCAGCATAAGACATAAGGTGGAAACTCGATTCTTTTGAATGGATTGCATTTAATGGATTTCTTTTTATTTTAGGCAAGAAATTCTTCAGCATGTCGATGTAATAAAAAATTTTTCTTTGACCAAGAATAGTGTTCGGATTGGACAACTGATGCACTATGATTATTCCAGCCATAAATATGTTTTCTCTATTAGCAATAACTTCAGATCGCTGCTTCCAGATGTATCGCCCATTATGAATAAGCATTACAATATCTGTGCTGTGGTTGGAAATAGTGGGATCCTGACAGGGAGCCAGTGTGGACAAGAAATAGATAAATCAGATTTTGTTTTTCGTTGCAATTTTGCCCCTACGGAGGCTTTCCAAAGAGATGTTGGAAGGAAAACCAACCTTACCACCTTCAACCCCAGCATTCTGGAAAAATACTACAACAATCTTTTGACCATTCAGGACCGTAACAATTTTTTCCTCAGTTTAAAAAAGCTTGATGGGGCCATTCTTTGGATCCCTGCATTTTTCTTCCATACTTCAGCAACTGTTACCAGAACGTTAGTTGACTTTTTTGTTGAACACAGAGGTCAGTTAAAAGTCCAATTGGCGTGGCCTGGAAATATAATGCAACATGTCAACAGGTGTGTATATTTTATTCCATTTAACTCATACCCCACCAGATGGCAAATTAATATTGTAGTCTTAGGGGTGGGAACCACCAATTAATTACTTGTTGTGATCAGTTTAGGTCTTTAGAGCAAACTACTATCTTTTGTAATGAATGGATGAATCATCTGAGCTTAAAAGTTTAACCTACCCTCCAGCAAGTAGCCAAGTGCCTAGTGTTTCATAGGTCTCCCCATCTTGTCCTCTTTGTACCCTTCTTGGTGGTAAACTTACTAAACAGTCATGGAAACCATCACAAATCAAGAAATGTCCTTTAAGTAAATGGCTATATCCAAATAATGCCAATAGCTAAATGACACAAAGCAAATTATATTTTTAAAGATGCAGTTGACTTAAAATTAGCCATTTTTTTGTTTAGTTATTTTCTAGATAGCAAAGATTAGCAAACCACCTAGATGAATCACAAGCTGTGTAGTCTGTCTTTATAATTTGATACTTGAGTGCAAAACTTGTGAAAATATTATATGATTTCATTGTTATTTTTTATGACTTTGATACACTGACCAGTGATGCTATATTTTCATCTAATCTCATGATTTTCAAGTCTAATTGTACAGAAGAATTATTTGGGGCCTGGGAATGTAGCTCAATGATAGACTGCCTGCCTAGCATACATAAAGACATGAAGCCCTGGGTTCAACCCTTAATGACAAAAAAAAAAAAAAATCATTTGCAGAACTTTTAAAAATACCAGTGCCTGGGCTCTACTTTAAGACAGTCTAATGTAATTTTTCTAGTGGAAAAGGAAGTGAGGACTAGTGATGTTTTTAATAACTCCTCAGTTGATTCTGACGTGGAATCAGAATTGAAAGCCACTAGCTAGGGTATTTTATAAAGCAAAATCAATAGTGCCTTTTTTCTTTAAATCATCTGACCAAACTACTTCAATTCTAAATTCCTCTATGAAAGAAACCCCAGTCCTAACAGAGCACCAGATATTGTCATAATTTAGGGTAGTTTCCATGGTAACCAGGGAAACCTAAAGATTTTCATCCCACAATACATTATTCTCATTTTGTGGTCTCCTAAAGTCCTCTAAGTTTAAGATCTGTTTAGCTGACCTCTCATTAAAGGAGGTATAGTCTGATAAGCTGATATGTCTCCAGTATATAGGGCAATTCCATTAATTTGTAAATTAAAATTGTTTATGTTTTTACTTATTATTATTAAATTTCTATTAAGAAGTAATAAAGTCAACCAAAGTACAGGGAGCAGTAGTTATTTACATAAAGTCACTGCCCAAAGTGGGCAGAACCAGAATTGGAAGGCAGGTCTTCTGTCAGTCTGTCCCTTGCCTTTGGATTTCACTTGACTCCCTTGTTTAATTTCAGTAAACTTAGATTTCGTTCGGAAGAGAAAAAGCCACTAGGACTGTACTGTGAGGTGGACTTGTCAAAGTAATTGGAATATTCTAAAATCCAGACGTATCCAAACTTTTGATTTGCCAAGGCCACATTGAGTAAAGAGGAATTGAATTGGGCCACATATAAAATATATAACATAGCTAATGTATACAATTAACAAAACTTCCTTTTAAAATCTTTGTGGTTATACAATTTTTTTTAAAAAAAGTGAGAGAAAGAGCCCTGCGTGGTTGCACACACTTGTAATCCCAGAACTCCAGGAGGCTGAGGCAGGAGAATTGCCATGAGTTCAAGGCCAGCCTGAACGATGTAGTGAGAGCCTGTCTCAAAAAAAAACAGAGAGAGAGAGAGAGAGAGAGAGAGAGAGAGAGAGAGAGCGAGAGAGCAAGCTGGCTGCAGGCTGCAGGTTGGAAAGACTAGACAAATCCACCTCCCATCCCAGTACTGTTGACCAATCAGATTGAAACCTTCAACACTGGCCTCTGAATCCACATGTACTTATTATTCCACAGGTACTGGAAAAACAAACATTTGTCACCCAAACGGCTGAGCACGGGTATTCTTATGTACACCCTTGCATCAGCAATATGTGAAGAGATCCACTTGTATGGATTTTGGCCTTTTGGATTTGACCCCAACACAAGGGAAGATCTTCCATACCATTACTATGACAAAAAAGGAACCAAATTTACCACCAAGTGGCAGGAGTCCCACCAACTGCCTGCTGAGTTTCAGCTGCTATATCGAATGCATGGGGAAGGGCTCACCAAACTGACTCTGTCACACTGTGCCTAAGAACTCTGAATGGAAAGTGCCAAATGGCTGTTTAAAAAAGTGCCCCAAATCAAATTGAATAGTCTTCTGAATAGAACCCCAGAGACTGTCTTATAAGGCTTGTCTGCCACTTAAATGGAAAGATGTCTTCTTCTTTTGCACTGCTCTTTGAATGGTCTTAGCTGATTTTTGCAGGACAGGTGCACTGAAACTATGTGATTTGAACTTGACTGATGAAGGGAACGTTGCATTTGGAAGTATGCTGCTAACAAAACGGTTTGACATATTTCCATGTTTGTATTTTAATAATGAACTACTCCTGTGTCAGCCGGGACAAAAGCTATAGTTTTCTATAGCTCTGCTTCAGTATAGTCCTCATAATCAGAGGTCTCTGGCCAGTTGGGGCAGAATCTGCTTAGCCAGTGGGATCAAACTCTTCAAAATGGAAACAAGAAAAAATGGTTTGCACCCCTCCTCTTTTCTCCTGCCCCCTTCCTTTCTCTTTCTTTCTATCATGCCTTTTCCTCTCCATGCAACCATATCCCTTGCCCCATCACCATGGAGTTTAATATTTGCTAGGAATTTTATTGAATTAGCTTTGCTTGTATGTTTGCCTCTGTACTTGATGTGTTCAAGGCTGTAGGTCACTTTGATATTTCATGATAAACTGAGCAAATCATGATGAATCCCCACATGATTAATTTTGTAAGAAATGCCTCTTATAAAGTCTTCACTTGTCCATATGGTCATTCAACAGCAGGGCAGTCCCTCTGGGATGAGCAGAATACAATGCAGTGTGGTGTCTTTCACCATCTTAAAGAAAGCCTGTGGCATGGGTGGCACTGCATGTCTTGACATGAGTACAATTACGGCAGACAATAGCACTGGCCTCAACCACAAGGGCCTTCCAGCCTGCCTCCGACAGTCCCAGTTCAAGCATTGGGCTGGGCATCCTCTCAGAATATGGAGGCAATGAGTTAGGTGACTAGCCTGAGACACATACAGGAAAATAAAGAAGATTGAAGCATAATTATAGAATCCCATACACTGCAGAACTGTAACCATGTTATATGATCAGAGCCTTGGAGAACCACCAGGGTTGGAGTAGAAGAGAAAGCCTGAAGTTGGCCAGGCTCCCACCATGTGAATAATGCTGGAGTGAGGTTGTCTCAGTATGGTGCCCGCCACCATCAATCCAGAACTGTTTGTTCATTTTGAGACAGTTTTAAACACTAGATATTCCCTATTTCCACTGAAATCAGATCTATATTCCTACAAATTAAGTATTTACAAAAGGAAAAGCCATTGAACAAGTCTTGATACTAAATAGCCCTTGAAATGTAAGAATATGTAGACCTGTCATGAAGGAGTTAGCTAGCCATTCTCCTTTTCATTTCTTCAGCCTTAGAAGTAGAAATCACATCACTCCCACCCTTAGCTTTTTACTGAGCAGCCCTTTGTTCTTCCAGTTCAGCCCAAAGTCTGGCCAAGTTGATGTTAAATTTTAATAAGAGTTTCTTTTCTGTTTCCAAATGCCAGTCAAACACATTTGTTTTATGTTTCAGTGGGATAGCTCATTGTTTTCCAGAAACTTCATCTAAACTGCTTGAATGTGACAAATATGGTTAAAACTAACTGCTGTTGCTCACTCATCAGCACATTACCCCTCTTTGAAAAGGTATAATCATGCCTAAAATTAAATGAAATACAATAAGCAAAGACAGTCATGTTCTGCCTGGTCCTAAAGATGTATTGTTCTTTTCAAGAGGATAATCAGAGTGGCTTTCATAGATCCAGGTATTAACTAGTGAAAGAAAAACCGCTCAGGTCAGCACAGATGCTGACACATCTTACAATGCCAAGTGAATGTCAGTTATCCCAATAGATGTGAAAAATAGGAATAGACATTTCAACATAGGAAATAAAAACCAACTCTACATCTAAAATAACTATAAGGCAAGATATAAAAACATTTTAAAATTCAATGGTACAACTTTATGGACATCAAAATATAACATGTTTCTTCCTTAGCTGTCACTTTAAAGAGGTTGAAAGAGGCCAATGAAGCTGTACTACCATTCTCACTATGCTTGGTTAAGATCACTGTGAGATTGATAAATAACAGAAGTATGTAGCCAGCTGTCCCTAAACACTTAGTTCATTTGGTTATAGCTAAGTGATACTAATGCCAGTATTACCCAGGCCAGGTACTGATTCTGGGGTTTTAGTCTAATGTGCCCAGTAATTTTTACTAAATACAGATGCATAGACACTTTGATCTAAGAGATCAAAGGCATAAAGGACCAGAATCCCAAAAACCAGTTAATTGTTTCAAAGTGAACTATTTAAATTTGAATCTCATCACAGTGCCATGGTTTTTGTTTTTTTAAGTTCAGGAAGATTTTTTAAAAAATCTTAATGTACACTTGCTCTATCTTTACCTTAGAATGAGAACACTTTCCCACCCCACCCCCTACTGTCATCTGAACTATAATAAGAGGAACTCAAAATAGTGGGGAAATAGACTTTTCTCTAGAACTAGAAGGGCTTAGAGATCAGCTCCTCCCTACTTTCAGGCAGAATTTCTTGGTGCTGATCCCAAAAGACCACCATTCTTTTTGTTAAAACATTTTCTGAAGAAAATTCCAAGCTCTCCTGAACTTCTTTCACAGCCTAGATCCCTTTATTGCAAAATACATGAAATTTGTTAGTAAAGCATTTATCCCATTTTAACGCACATAATAGGTGCTCAACAGGGGCAGCTATTACTATTAGAGTATTTTCATTGTTGATTATGATCATACCTACAGTTCCAGCATGGGAAAAAACAGCTGCTAGCTAATCATACAAGATCCCCTTTGTTGTTAAAGATTGGTTCAGAGATTAAAGCTATATGACCACCATCATGATCAAAAGATTCGGTGGGTCCCACGTGTCCTGATCAGAAGGCAGTGGTGTCAGTAACCAGAGTTTCCTGGCTCTCCCATGTCTCCCAGGCTTTACTCAGCTAGAGAAACACACCCCTGGCTTTGCATTGCCCTTACTTTGGGGGTTCTAGGCTAAATGCATACTTTTGTCAGAAACTTTCCCCTTTGTAAATATTTCTAGCAGGGCTACCTCCAGCTACAGGAATAAATTTCACTATCAATCCCCCAAGGCTATCTGCACATGACATCACCGCAAATGACCTATTAAGTTGCAGAGGAGAAAGAAATCCTCAAACATTTGGCTACCTGCTTAATTAATACTAGACCCACAAATTAGACCCACTGATTTCACCAGTTAGTTGTTCTGGGTCATGTGCAAACATGTAGATCCTGGGGAGACAGGATTAAAAGGTGATCTTGAGAATTCTTCCTCCCATGCCTATATTTGATGATTAAAACATATGTGGTTCCTCCACCATGTGTCTGTGTCTTAGATATCCTTGACCATAATTATAGAAGTGTGTTTAACAGCAGTGTGTGCCCATCAGTGCTGGTTGTAATTACTGTGCCATCTATCTGTGACCTTGATGCCAGAGACCTGACCATGGGGCTCCCAGCAAGGACACCCCCACCTTAAGAACTTTCCCTCCCAGTGCACAGGCCGCCACCTAGCCATGAATGTGAGTGCTACTTGGTAGGGAAGTTGAGGAATGAAGAACATATCTTCTAACTTTGGTCAAGGCACTAAGTGCTAAACATTCTCAGGCAGTAATGCATTGTTGTCCTGAGGCCTGTGGAAAAAGGAGCATCGTCAAGTACTAGGACACTGGAAAGGGAAGTCTTTGAATTTCTCCAGTCCTAATTATTGGCACAAATGAGAAAATGGACATACAAAGAGGACAAATGATTTTGTCCTACTGCAGGGTAATTAGTGAGAAATTCTGACTCTTCATCTTGGCTTTGTCAGTATCAAATGAAGGGAAAGAGATTTTGGTCTGGGGTCCTTTGGGCACGAAAAGGATTGTGAAAGGCAAAAGGAAGAAAAGAAAAATATTTCTCAACACAAAACAATAAAGATGCTTGAATAGATATATAACAGTCCACTGATAATGACCCATGTTTTCCCCAGAAATGAAGGAAAACCCTCTTCGTAAACCATTTGATAAATCAATATAGTTATTGATGGTTCACAGTTGACAAAAATATTATCCAGTAATCTATCTTAATAAAATTTTGTTTTACTAATATGTATGCATAATTTAGAAGTTGAAGGCTAAAAATAGTTATATACTTTTCCTTGTGTGTAGTTTTCAGCAGGAGTCCCTTGAGTTAAGAAATCCTTTCCATATTATGCATATTTTTAATGGCATACTTTACTATATTTAGTTCAACATGCTAAGAAGATGTACAAATAATAATCACTTTGGTGGGTCTTCCTTTCTTCAAAAATGACAATTTCCTCTATAACTTTAGATTTTAAATCCTTTTTTTATATAATTGTGCACAGAAGGCAAAGGTTTGTGCTTAGTTTCTACTCCTTCCTGAATGTGTACAGTGGAAGTTTTGTTTCTGAACAGAATTGGGCTTGTGTACATGTTGTTGAAGAGTCCCAATAGAACATCCCAGGATCTGAGGATCAGGGCACCTTGGCTGGCTGTTTGACCTGTCTGGATTCTGTGGCCCAATAAATCAAAGCCACAAGGGAGTTGATGCCAAGGACCAAAATAACTAATTATGTCTCCCTCGCATTCTGACTGCTTTGGCACCTAAATATAACATTTGAAATAGGGAATATCTTAGAATGTCACAATTGAAGTAGGGAGTACTTCTGAACATTTATTTTTATTGTGATGACTTATTGAAAACATATATTTAAATAGATGCTTTATATTCTATGAAGCTCATTCTCTTATTGTTTACAGTGGAATTACAGTGAAAAGTCTATTGTGGACTAACTGACTCCAACTTAAGATTACAATTAGGTTCTGGGTGAGGACCTGATTTATGCCACTAATTCATCAGCAAAAAAAAAAAAAGTATGAAATTAGGACTCTTTAAAATATAATTCTTTATCCTCCCTCCAAAGCTTTACCTTAACAATGTCTTGGGATAAACCAGTTTACAAAGATTCATAGATGATTCTTTTGTTTCCAGCACTAGGAAACCAGTAATATTAATATATAGCATAGTCAAACACCATTCTGACCAGAGTAGCTGAATGTATATCATGCAGTTAGTATAAAATGTTTTTTAAAAGTATCACGATATATGGCAATGTAGACATAGTCTTAGTGGCTCAAACAGACATCTCTTAGCCAGACTGACCCTTGGTTAATCTGTAAGTGAAGAGTAATTAGTCAATCTAGGCAGAATAGATGCAAGCTTGAGGACCAAGTTAGGAGCATTGCTTTAATATGCATAACTCCAAGATTGGCGTGTAATTTCCCTTTCTGTATTTCAAATGAAGGAGCCCATCTTGGGACATTCATGTTTATAAATGGATAGATTGAGAAACAGAGAAGTTAAATGATTTATTTAGACTCACTTTGGGAGTCATTCCCAGAGCCTAAAATAAAACACTACTCAAAGAGTCTGATTTCTCAGTCTCTAAATCATGCTCCAATGGTCTCCAACTAAAATGAAACTAATCAAGAAAGGAAATTCAAAGGGCTTAAACCCCAGACCAACCCAGAATAAGTGAGGTGATGAGTTCCTACTAGGTTCCTCATTCTTTTGGAGAAGGTGTGAACATCCTAATGAAGTTTTGGCCAGGCTTCTTTCTATATCTGTGCACATACAAAGCCTTTACTCTTCAGAGGAACCAAACGACTCTGATTTCCCTTCTGTGGGATTCAGTAACAGTTTTAGCTCTTCGGTGCATTGCATTAAACAACTAGCACAAGAGAACTGTCATTTACCAGTTTCTGTGGTATAAATACTCTCAAAGTAGCCAGTTTTAAGCTACTAACTTAATTTCAACCAGCTGAAAATACAACAGTGTTTTCAAGAGCCAGGATGAGCTGGCTTTACAATGAGTCGCCTCCAGCACAGCACTGTCTAAACAATTTCCCAGTCAGTGAGTAGCAAATAGAAGAGGCTAGCAGTGCCTTTGGAGGGACACCCAAGTGCCCCTTTCCCACAGGGAAACATTTTCTGCCTTGGACAGTTTTGCTAATTTTTAGTAAAAGACTATTGTCTGGGCTGAGGATGTATCTCACATGGTTGAGCACTTGCCTAAAAGGCGTGAAACTCTGGGTCCAGTCCTAAGCACCACACACAAAAAAACTTCATAGACATAGAGATGGAGATTTAGATATAGATCATATAGATACAGATTTTAAACTATCATCCTAAAGGTTTCAAAATATATCCTGTCGGGAACCTCTCAACAGCTTCCTCAGTACCTTAGATTATCAGCAATGGTTTTTCTAATTTCAGTGACCTTCCAAGTACATAAATAATCTCTAACTTAACTGCCAGTTGAAACTATGTTTGGTTGATTTCTTTTTTCCAGTACTAAGGATGGAACCCAGAGCCTTCACACTGAGCCACATACCCATCCAGTATTTTTTTTAAGATAGGGTCTTGCTAAACCATGAAGTTGCCCACGCTGAGCTCCTGAGCTCAAATTTGCAATCTTCCTGCTTCAGACTCCTAGAGTATTGGAACTATAGGCTTGGATCACCATGCACAACATCTTCTGTCTTTTTAATCCTGTAGCCCACTGCCTGTTTCCTCAGTTCTGTAGTTTACCCCATCCACTTGTTCATCTTCCTTCTGACAAAGCATGAAATTCACAGACATCCATAAAACAGTTCTACAATGGCACAGAGATAAAACAAGACATTTACTCAGCTTAGCTGGTCCCATGTGCCTGCAGAGGCCCCGTGATTTGTCTGTACCCCACCAACGGACCCTCAGCAGCCGCCATTTCATCATGACTGAAATCTGCATACGCATGCAGCAGTCTCTTCCCTTAGAAAAGTAATTAATGATAAAAAAAAAAAACAAATTACTACTGAACTGGAACACCTTTGGGCAATTTAAGTGGCCATACTGTGTAGAGCAAGGTGTCAGACAGTGCTCTGCACTTAGCTAAACTAGTATAAAGCTATATCTGGAAAAAAAAATATCCACAATCATGTGGCCACAAAGTCCTCTGGCACTGAGCAGGAACGCAGCTGTCCTCCCTCACCACTGGTGATGAGTGGACAGCTACTGAGTGTTTAGAATTCAGATGTCCTGGCAATCCACAGAACATGCTTGCAAATTAAAAGTCTTTCTGATGGAAATCATTCTGAAGTGGGTGTAATTAAGTCTTGTGAAAAGCAATGCTGGGGAAAAAATACTTAATTCCTCAGACATAGTGAATGGCCATAGGTGTTTGTTCTGCATTAGTGAACCAAAATTAGATCATGAAGGACCAAATCTACTTTCCTTGCTGTAGTAAAATATCTTGCATCTTTTATAAGGCATTTCTACACTGTAAATGTTTAAAACTCAAGTTGAACATTTTTTATACAGTATTATATTTAAAAGACCAGGGCATACCTCTGTTTTCTGTTCTTAACAATCACTGAAATTAGCTTGTTTTTCTATACTGAGCAAGCATGTTTTGTTTTAAATGAGTCAGGTATATGTTTGAGTTTTTCTCTGTTTCCAAAAAGTTTTATGTAACATGGGCACAAAGTATATTTTTTCTTTCTCTGGCTGTTCCTGATGCCAAAGAGATAAAAGTCCATAGCTACAAGCACAAGAGACTTGGCAAGTAGGCCCCACTTTATTATGAACAAATTTCCAGCAAAACCAGCCATGTGGAACTAGCCATGATCATATTTTTAGCTAGGAATATAGCTAGGAAATATTTATAGCTAGGAAAAATTGGTAGACAATAAGAAAGAAATTTGGTCAGCATATATAGGTGGAATGAAGTCAGTAGGGCACTTAGAAAATGGAGAGAGAGCGGTTTCCCTTGAAATACAAAATCTAGACCATTTTGTAAAACTTAAAGTAACTGTACTTCACATTACAACTGCTGTTCAACCAAGATCAGATCTGCAGCAAAGCAGATTTACAGCAAGACCCCTAAGAAGGATTCATGATGGGTCTGGTCTCAATCACCAAGCATCAGTAATTAGCACTGAAATTCTCCCAGGACACAGGACAAGCACACTGAAGAATCACAACACAGGATTATCTACTCATCTGGGATGGTCATCTAAGTCCATATAAAAACTCCACTATCTCATCATCTCAGGTCTAGGTTTCAGATCAACATCCCCCAAGCAGAGGTGAGGCTCAGAAGGTCAGCGTGACATCTCTGCTCAATCGGAATTAGAAGGCGGGTCTCCCAACCACTGATTCCATATCACACCATTCTGCTTCTATTCTTTAGGTAGGAAATTGACATTCCATCATGAAGCATAAGTTAGAAGTAAAGACAAAAGAATACTTGTGATATTTTCTCTCATTTTACCTACTATGGTTTCACCATTTCATTTTAGCATCATGTTAAAGAATATTAGAGTAGAATGAAGAGCACAGCTCCGTTTGGAATAAATGAAACCAAAAAATCAAAAGGTAGGAGAACAGTGAATGTAACTAAAGATGAGCAAGAAGCATGTGTCAGGGAAAATAAATGCCTCGTGTTATTACCGTGGCACCCTCCCCTCACCACAGTTGACGCATTTGTTTTAGAAAATGCATCTTATGCCAAGAGATTTGTAATGAAGACTTTGCCCCTTTCCAACTGCATTAGAAGTTCCCTTGCTCTCTAGAAGAAGCCCTGGCTCTTATGAATCAGACTCACCTATCTTGTTAGAGGCAGCCTCACCTGCCATTGGAAATTCAAGTTGCTGCCAGAGGGTGGGTCCACAGACACCTGAAAGAAGCCAGCTCTGCTGGACTGAGGACCATGTAAATATCTTCTGCCTTCTTGGTGAACAAGGATGATCATCTTTCATAGAGGTAATTGTGTGTATATTGTGACTGTAGTTTGTGAAGAAACTGCAACGGTTTGCTTCAACAACAGCTCCCCAAATGTACTTGTTCAGTGTGAATGTGCCTGCCTCATTGCCTCATGTGCCAAACACAGCAATGAATGCATTGTTTTTAAATAAACTGTTTTATTGTGAATTGGAGAACACTACTGGCTGTCTCTGACCTGTTTGGAAGACTCTCACATGTGTGCGCGCTCTCTCTCCCTCCCCCAACCCTCTGCAATAAGAGACTGAGTGCACCCACCTTTTTTATTTTCAGTGGTATGAAGCCTTCTCACGGAGATGTTGAGAAGGATGAGTCTGGCTGTCTAGAGTCATGAACTAGTATCAAATGGCAAAAGCACCCCACGCACCCTTCTTTGTAGGGCTTTTATATGTAGATCATGCAACAAGACTTACTATTAATAATAATAATAACAATACATTACTGTTGACTGTTACAATCGCACACATCATTTTATTTAATCAAGATTTTGGTGAGGGAGACATCTGAGGGACATAGATCATGCTGCACAGCTAGTGACAGTCCAGGTAGGAACTCAGCCTGGCTCTTTGTCCTGCATCTTTGTACCCTTGCAGTCTCTCACTGGGTCACCTCTTCATAGAGCCTTCCCAGAATGCCACTACAGCCTTTACCCCCCTACTCTGTGTTACTCCTCTCATATATGTATTGTCTCTCGTCTCTGAAAATAATATTTATTTATTCACTGTTTGTCTCTGTCTTCTACTGTATTATAAGTTCTACCTTATATAACATAAGAACTGGCCCATCTCAGTCATTTTATGCCCTTAATACCTAGAATAGGAACCTAGTAGATTCACAACAAATAGTTGCAGGATGGATGAATAAACAGAAGGATAGATAGTTGGATAGTTGGACAGACAGACATCATATAGTGTATCATTTCAATTCTTTTTTTTGTCCCCTTGTTGCCCTCCCATCTTTGTACCTATATCAGACACAAAAAGTCCTGGCTCTTCTCTGACGATGCTGCCTCAGCACCATGACCACTACTCAGCAAGCACTTGTTGATGGAATACATGAACTGTCCTAGGAATTGTTGTTCTCAATATCCATGTTCCAACATCAAAAATGCCCTGGCATAGTAATGTACTAAAACACATTCTGTTCTTGTCCCTGACGGACTGCAGTATCAAGCGAAAGGAGAAATTAGAATAGGGCGAAAGAATTCGGAATGGTTGAAAAGATTCAACTTTAGTAGGCAGAGTTGATCTGAGAGGGCTTGCTCCTCTCTGGCTTAAATCAAAAGCAGTAATTGCTCACTGTGTGTAACACTGGACAGACAGGAACAGTATACCAAATTAGCAAAATCAGAATGCCTGTCTGGAAGGAACTGAAAGTCTTGTTGAGGAAATTGTTCAGCGGATTGTATGGAAATTTCTTATTTTGAACCGTTTAGAGGGTATTGCAAGTGGAAGTGAGGGATGGAGGGGGAGGGGGCAGGGAGAGGGAAATGAGTGGCCATATGAAATTCTAGAAAAGACAATTTAAAATATTAGAGGTCAAATGTAATGCTCAGTGTTTACATTTCTGAAAACTACTTGCCGGGCTAAAGATTCCTCTCCTACCCATTCTCTCCCATGCTACTCTACTGCTGAGAGAGAGAGAGAGAGAGAGAGAGAGAGAGAGAGAGAGAGAGAGAGAGAGAGAGAGGTTCTAAAACACTTCACAAAGTAAAGCAAAACATGAAATTGACACCAAGTTTATTGCAGGCTCTCTGCCTGAGGCTGATTAGTACAAATTAAATTTTAAAAATAGAATTTTTTTCCTAAGAAAATACATTGCCACAGTTTGATCAAGACAAAGAGTATTTTTAGAGAGACTCCCTTCATAAAAAGACCAACCTGAGCCCAAGGCTGGTGGCCAGTAGAGAAGCCTGGCTTTCTGCTTCATCTGAACAAGAATGGGGCATCGCCTCCAGCCAGGCTTCTGCGGGGTCCAAAGGTCTGGAGGTGGCTGAGAGCAGCCTCAGCCCCAGAGGTGGTCCCCGTGTTGAGTATGTGATTCCTGGTAAGTGAGTTAACTTGGGGAAGAAGCTACTCTGAACACTAATTTATATCCTTCAGAGTGCCACAGGTGATTAGGAACTTAGAGATTCAATAAATTCATTCTCTCAATTCCAGATGAAGAAACTCAGGCTCAGGAAGAGAAAGTAATGTGTCCAAATGTCCTCTCCTAACCAGCAACCATGGAAGTACTTCACAAAGTTTTATAGGGAGAAAAAGAAAAAGTTATTTTTATGTCAACTAACGGTTCTCAACTCTAAGTAAAAGTATTTAAGGACAGTCTGTTTATTTTACTTATTTGTATTGGAAAAGTATTCACTGACATAATATTTTAAAATAGGGGTAAAGCTTTTCACCTGTTTTCTTGATTGTTTTACACCATACATTCTCTTATAGTTTCTGTTTTTCTCCCTACTTAAACATAAATCAAGAACATCTTTCCACATCATTAAGTCTTCTATCAGAAGCTCAAAGAATAAGTAATAAAGCACAATTTAACCAATTCTCTATTACTGTTTGAAATTTAGATGTTCTGAAATTTTTTTTGTTATAAACTGTTCTAAAAACCATTTTTTCGTGATTAAATGTTTGATTATTTCCTTAGATAAATCCCTTGAAGTGGATTTTCAAGAGCTTTAAACAATTTTTGTAAAGGGAATCTTTTTCACAGCCAGCCAGGATGTCCTAGTAGAAATTCTCAGACCAAGTTTTCCAAATCTTTATTTCCTTAGAAAACTTGCAAAAGGATTAGGAGAAAAGCATGCATCACCATTAAGGATGACTTCCTCAACAGAGAAATAAATAAATAAATGTGTGACTCTTAGGTATGTAAATAAACTATTGTGCTCTACATACATGCAGTTATCACATCTCTTGTTTAGGAGGTGGAAGAACTTCACAACTCAAGAGAGAAAGCCCATTCAATTGCAGCCTCATTACTAATCAAATAAAAGGCACCCAGGACCACTTGAGAGAGACGGACCTTCAATACCATGATAGATAGCTCTTTTTCTTATTTGAAGAGTATGTTTATTGCTTACGCAAGCCAACCAACCTAATAATGCTTCTGATTCACATTAAGTCCAAGAAGTCAAAATGAGGAGGTTAAAACAAACAATCTACCTTAAGGCTACACAAATCCCATAGATCTGTTGTTTTTTGTTGAACCTCTTTTAAATCAATATCTCTACTTCTATAGGAGAGATGTAGCATTAAGCAAATTCAAAATATTAACATATAGATTTTTCAAGGCAAATATTGTTAAGACTGGACAAAGCAATCACCACAGAATTCCCTACCTACCATTGCCCCTTTCTAAGGTAAATCCACATTTGTATTTTAAAAAATCAGTTGATATATTGCTCTCTGTGGACCTTACAGTTTCTGTCACAATTACTCAATTCTGCTGCTGTAGTACAAAAGCAGCCACAGATGATACACAAATGAATGAGTTGTGGCTGTGGTCCAATAAAACTTAATTTATAAAAACAGGCAACAGCCAGATTTAGCCTGGGGCCGCAGTTTGACAACTCCTGCTTTGCACTTCAAACTCCTTATTGCATGTAAAATATTTCATTTGACTTTCACTGTATTTGTTTTCTAGGGTAGCTTAAAACAATAGGTATTTCCTGCCTCATGGTTCTAGAGGCAAGAAGTCTGAAATCAAGGTAGCAGCAAAGTTCCTCTGGGAGCTCTGAGGGATAATCTGCTTCCTGCTTCTCTCCTTCCTTCCAGTAGGTTCCAGAAGTTGTAACATTGCTTGACTTATAGATGTATAGCTCCAGTCTGTTCCTCTATCTTCTCTTCTCTTCTGAGGACTCCCAGTTGAATATAGGACCTACCCCAGCCCAGAATCATCTCATCTCAAGGTGTGTACCTTAGTTACTCCTCAGAGACTCTCATTATAAGTAACATTCTGAGTTTTGAGGCAAACATACCTACTGAGTACCACAATTCAACCTCCTACAACTATTTCCTACATCTTTTTTTTTTCCTCATTGAGTTTATTGGTACATTTTAGGTATACAGTACAATTACATTCATCATTGGGATCTTGTACCTTTGCATGACAGGTCTTGGTTCTCATTTTTTCCCCCTGTCCCTGCCCTCCCTTCATCCTTCCTCCTT